GTGTTTATTATTAAAATTTTTCATTATCTCTTAAACTACGCGTCCAAATAAAATGCTATTAAGAGCAAAATTTATCTTCATAAAATTTTCTTGATGATGAATTAACTTTCGTTCGTAAGGATTAACATCCGATGCCTAATAATAACGCTCATAAATCACTGAACCCAATACCCCATTTCATCTCGTGGGTGTCGTAAGAGGCGACAGAAGGGAAACTGAAACGGGAGATGGGTGGCAGCATCTTCCTGATAACAGTGCAGAGTAATAAAAAGTTGCGCTTGCCAACTCATTTACCAAGCGTGGCTACTACTGCAAATATTCGTCCTATTTGACAAACAATGGGAGAAGGCTATGATCAGCAGTGGTCAGTGGATAGCCCTAATAAAAGTAAAAAAAGTAGCAGCTTACATACATCCCACTACTGGCGACAGGCCGCAGCGAGTTTTAGGACAAAAAACAGTTGATTGAGTCGATTCCAACGCAGATTGACCGACTTCACATAAGTATACCTAACAATGATTTCCGAAATATTTTTTTACTTCTCAAATATGCAGGTTTCCTCGCGATAGTTTCCTTCACCACCAAGAACGTGGTAAATCGAAACTTCAAATTGCAATTAAAATATGAGTGGTGTCGGTGCGGATTGAATTTGGGTTGCTTACGTACTATGCAATTTACGTTTGGATCGGTTCGGTTACCGGATAATTTTCAAGATTTTTTCGATGCAGTTCTACTCATAGTTAAAATAAAAATAAACATGCGTTTGAAATTTGGTGTCTTTGATATTTATATTACTTTAACGCAAGAGCTTGTTCATTTACTCATGTCAGCTATGAAACCGGGACTCTCACAAAAATCTCAATAGGTAGATATGTCTGAAAATATGAAAGCTATCTTATTATATGACAAACTGTTTTAAAAGTCTCATTGAAAGTAAAAAAGTAAAGAAGCAGCTTACACGCGTCTTACAACAGCTGTGCACAGTGCTGGTAATTACCCATGTGCAAAATGGTGGTTCACATGTCCGCGATTTTTTTAAACTACTTAGACATCAAGGTTTCACCGCCATGTTATTCTTTACCATTTCACTGAGCATGTGGAAAATAAGCAAATAAAATTTCCTTACCAGTTTCTTTAGTCCTCGCGGGAATCGAACACTTTTGTAACTGTGCTTTGAAATCTTACGGCGAGCTACAAGGCTCTCATATTTGCTTAAGTAAAACTCATAAAAACTGAAAAGAAGCTTTTATACTATTGTGGACCCCATCTACGTAGTAATTAGTCATTCAAACTATTCCGTCATTTAAAGATGAAAATCTTACAGTCCACTAAATTTTTAATCACTTACATTGGACTTAACACAAAAAGTTGGTGAAAAATTGCCATCCTGAAAGACACCCAACATGTTCAACTAAAGACATTCTGTCTTCACAGTTTTGTGTACACAGTTCTGTTAGTCATTTTGCTAAAAGTGACAATTATGATAAATCATACCGATCCCGGTCGATTTTAAGTCTGACAATTTTTGATGCTGTTGGAATAAGTATTCAATACAATTCTCTTTCATTTTATCAGTTACTTATTATTAGTTTATTTAGCAGTAAGTAGATGGCGCTATTATGACATTAAAACCATAAAATCAAAAACTATACCCTCTAGTACTCAGCTACAATAAGTTAGGGTACGACTGGGACCGTCCAATCACACAAGAAAGCCGCCAACATTTACATAATACATAAATTGGGCATAAAGTGATGTAGATTCTATTAAAAATTCTACTTTTGTCAAAAATACGCTATCAGCGCTGCTAACGATGTGTAATGAAATTATTTTTCGATATAAACAATATCAAGAAAAAGCAAAGTTGTATTTAGTTGTTAATATCGCCAAACGATCTCTATTCATTGATTTGGCTAAACTATATCATGATATATTCAATCCGTTTATTTTGAGATAAACAAAACTTTTTTATAGATTAGAAATGAAACTTAGAAACATCTCACATTTTATGATTTTCGATAGATGTTATTATTTTAGTAGTAATTAGTTACTATAAACTTTATATAGTCATACTAAAATGAAATAACAAAAGAACTGAAAAATGAACGTATAAAAACTAACGTATGAAACATATAAATGTAAGGTATTTATTTTTATTTTATTTATTAGTAACTGGACGTAAATGTTACTACTTTTTGAATTTCACGTTAGATGGCGCTGTTTCGATAAAGTGAATCGTGGATTATCGGCGTAATTCAAATTATTACGCAACGGTTAAAACTAATATTTAAATGAAACTAATTTTACGGATTTTATCGCGTATATTAACTTATTTTACATTCCCGACGTTTCAAGCACTTTACAGCACCCATGGTCACGGGGGGGGACTGAGGTGTATGACGTCCCAATGTCATAGTTAACCACGGCTACTTCCAGATTAAAAATTATTAATTTTTGTTCCGATCTACGCAGTATGAACTTACAGTATCATGAAGTCTTGCAGTTGTATGCTTGGGTTGGGATTTAATTTTATTAATTATGGGATCCCAAGCAGATGGTAGCAACCAGCCATCTTCTCTATTGAAATTAGGATGTTTTTTGATTTCAATAGCCTCGCGAATCATCCTTGGAAGGAATCGGTGTTCTTTAGCGAGGATTTGTGGTATATCAAATCTAATGTAGTGACGGGGGCGATCCTGTACATGTTCACAGACTGCAGACTTCCCGGAGCGTCTATTCTTCACATCAGCTATGTGTTCTTTAACGCGGGTTTTTATGGATCTAATTATATTTTATAATTTAATTTTATTTTAATTATTTACACAGTTGTTGACAGGCCTGTTGGTCTAGTGGTTAGTGATCCTGACTGCTACGCCGGAGGTCGTGGGTTCGATTCCCACCCAGGACAAATGTTTGTGTGATGACACGATCATTTGTTCTGTGTCTGGGTGTAATTTATCTATAATATTTATGTATTTAGAAATATATAAGTATGTTTATCAGTTGTCTAGTACCCATAACACAAGCTCTGCTTAGCTTGGGACTAGATGGCGTTGTGTGATAGTTGTGGAATATTATTATTATTATCATTATTTATAATTTAAATAGATCCATAAAAACCCGCGTTAAAGAACACATAGCTGATGTGAAGAATAGACGCTCCGGGAAGTCTGCAGTCTGTGAACATGTACAGGATCGCCCCCGTCACTACATTAGATTTGATAGACCACAAATCCTCGCTAAAGAACACCGATTCCTTCCAAGGATGATTCGCGAGGCTATTGAAATCAAAAAACATCCTAATTTCAATAGAGAAGATGGCTGGGTGCTACCATCTGCTTGGGATCCCATAATTAATAAAATGAAATCCCAACCCAAGCATACAACTGCAAGACTTCATGATACTGTAAGTTCATACTGCGTAGATCGGAACAAAAATTAATAATTTTTAATCTGGAAGTAGCCGTGGTTAACTATGACATTGGGACGTCATACACCTCAGTCCCCCCCGTGACCATGGGTGCTGTAAAGTGCTTGAAACGTCGGGAATGTAAAATAAGTTAATATACGCGATAAAATCCGTAAAATTAGTTTCATTTAAATGTGTAGTGTTCGCGTAAATATAAGAAATCACTATGTAAAACTAATATGTTATTTATTTAAAAAAAAAGACACATTTATGATCAGTAATATAAAATAGAAATTAACATCTTGAAGGTGGAAAACACTTAACCCTCCTTTATTGAACTTCCGCAAACGGATAAAAAATAGCCTATAAGTTGCCCCGGGTCTAAACTACCTACGAGTACACACAAAATTTAATGGAAATCTGTTCAGTAGTTTTTGCGTGAATCAGTAATACACAGACAGACCGAAAAAATTCTAAAATCCACTAATGTGGCTTCAGTGCTCTTTATTTAGTCCCCTGGAACTATTTTTTTTTTTCAGAAAATATTAGAACTCGACTCGACTTTTCTAGAGATTTATTATATGTATAGATACATTTTTAAAATTTTATAAAATAATTTAAATATCCATAGATATTATACAATATAAACTTAATAAACTTATTCAATTTAAGTCCATAAAAATTCATTCCATCCATCATTTAAGTACATTTATCATTTTGATATCAATTCATATTTGCAACTAACTACGAGTACAAACATGAAATTTAAGTAAGGGGCGTTTAACGTGAATTACGCCCCATATTATTTTAACTTCTAAAGTGAGTATGTCCTACAGTCTGCAGATACTCGTACAAAGCGTCACACGCATGTATCATGTTCTGGATGGTGTTTCGGTACCTGTGCCTATCTACATTCTGTATTGTGCGTCTCGAGTGTGAAGTTCAGCAAAACCGACCTAAAATCAAGATCTCAGATGGCGACCTCATTTTGGAGCCTGGTTATGATAAAAATATTTATTTACGCCCCAACGGCCCTAAATCCAACTTGTTTGCAGGAGAACTGAATCTACTTAATTTAAATACTTCTATGAACAACGGAGAGTATCAACCATCTTCAAGCGGTAATAATGGTAAGAACTATCAGGAAATAAATGGGATTTTAGAACGCTTACAAAAATTAGAAAAACAACAACCTCCCTTACCTAGTGGCCTTCTTTTTAATATATCAATCCTTGCAAGAAAAATCAATCGACTAAATAACAGAGTTTCACTACTGCAATCACAAATTAACGGAAGAATAAATAACTGCCAAGCAAACCCATGTAAGCACGGCGGTACTTGTTTAAATTTGATGTCCGGCTATTACTGCCTTTGTCCACCGAACTGGGAGGGCACTGATTGTGATGAAGATGTAAATGAGTGCCGAAACTTCGCCGGTACCGACTTGGGCTGTCAGAATGGAGCTACCTGCATCAATAAACCAGGATCGTATGATTGTTTATGTAGAACAGGTTGGTTCGGTTTACATTGTACAAGAAAAGCCAAAGATTGATCGGGAGGAGATTTTGAAATGTGTGGACATGGCACCTGCTTGCCAGTGACTTCCGGAGATGGAATCAAATGCATTTGCGATCAAGGTTGGACTACGAACGGTACTGGTATAGCTTGCCTCACAGATATAAATGAATGTGAATCGTCACAAGGATCCCGATGTTCCGTTAATCCTAGGGTTGAGTGTATCAATCTTCCCGGTTCATTCCGATGTGGTGAATGTCCATCAGGCTACGAAGGAAATGGATACGTCTGCTATGATATCGACGAGTGTGTCACCTTACCAAATGGGGGTTGCAGCGTCAGTCCTTTTGTAGCTTGTCACAATACGATTGGATCAAGATTCTGCGGCCCATGCCCTCCGGGATACCTAGGTGATGGTGTTACCTGTACTTGGATAGGCTCATGTAATATAAATCACGGCGGATGTCACCCGGCAGCTTCCTGCGTTGATAAATGGTTTGGATCGGGAAGAAGAACACAATGTGTTTGTCCCAACGGTATGGACGGCGACGGCGTAGGTCTTGATGGATGCTACATTTCTACCGAAGGTAATGCAACACAACACTGCGAGAGCAATCCGTGCAGTGAGCATGGGCAGTGCCACGCTCTTCGGACTGGCTATACATGTATCTGCCATAAAGGCTTTACCGGGGTACACTGTGAAAACACGGCAAATTTATGTGCAAATTATCCTTGTCGAAATGGAGGCAGCTGCATTGTTGATGAAAATTCGTCAACAGGGTTCAGATGTGAGTGTACTGCACTATTTTCTGGGGATCTTTGTCAGTCGCATTCAAATCTTTGTGGCGGTGTGTTAAATCACGAAGAGGGTAGCATTATTTATCCCGTATCTAATACAACCTATAGTCATAATGCCCGTTGTGCGTGGGTGATTCACACCTCACCCGATAAAGTAATTAATGTTACATTTAGTAAGTTCAATTTAGAAACTAATCCTGAGTGTCAGTATGACTTTTTACAAATACATGACGGTCGTAGCTCAGCCAGTCAATTATTAGGACGATTCTGTGGTGTTACTTTCCCTTTAGGTGGAAATATTATATCTAGTCATAATAATTTATATTTCTGGTTCCGATCAGACCAAACAGTAGCTAAGGATGGTTTTGCCTTGCATTGGACTAGTATAGATCCAGTTTGTGGAGGGGAAATCGATGCAAGCACCCATGGTCACATCACCTCGCCTGGGTCACGTGGTAAGTACCCGCCTAATAGAGATTGTTATTGGCACCTCACGACTACATTTGGAAAAAGAATACTACTACACTTTTTCGAACTTGACATTGAAGCCCACCCTAACTGTAGCTTTGATTATGTTGCCATTTACGATGGAGGACATATCACTGATCCTCTACTCGAAAAATATTGTAACTCAACCCTGCCTGGACCTGTGCAATCGGTGAGCTCGGAACTTTTAATACATTTTCATTCCGACGCTTATGGTTCTGGTTACGGATTCCGTATTACATTCGCTCCTGTAGAAGGTATACCAGGATGTGGTGGTTACTTCACTGAATATAGAGGGGAAATTTCATCCCCTACATATAACGGTAAATATCTCAATAACATAGTATGTGAATACAAAATAAAAACCAGTGAAGGTACTAAAATCCGTATAAATTTCATAACATTTTCAATCGAAAGTTCATTCCGCTGTAAATACGACAACTTAAAAATTTATGATGGTCCGTCGTCCGACTCTCGCCTTGTTGGTAAATTTTGTGGCAAAAATTATCTAAAATCATACACATCATCTTCAAATGCATTATTCATAAGATTCAAATCTGATCATACTATGTCCTCCGAAGGTTTCAGAATAACTTATGAAGCAATTTGTCATAAAACACTATACGGTGATAGCGGAGTTATCAAATCACCCGGATACCCTTTCAGGTACCCAGAAAATAGAGTCTGTGAATATATTATTAGTACTACTCCAGGAAAAGCGATACAATTAACATTTCAAGATTTTGACATTGAAAGTAACAGGTACTCTAATTGTCAATATGATAATGTAGAAATCAGAGACGGACCTGATATAAACTCGACTCTGCTTGGAACTTTCTGTGGTGGTTCTGAACATATACCACCTGTTCAAACATCAACATTTAATTATATGTACATCCGATTTAAGTCTGATATGAGTGTTTCAGGTACAGGATTTTACGCAAACTATACAACGATAGATACTGAATGTGGGGGCATACATAGAGAGACTTCTGGAGAAATTAATCATCCCTCTGCTACAGAAACCAATTATAAAAACGATCAGACCTGTACATGGATAATAATCGCCCCTGAAGGTATGCATATAAAGTTAACATGGAATAGATTCAAGCTGGAAAACCATATTCGACCTTCATGTAGCACTGACTACGTTGAATTGTATGAAATAGATGACGAAAATCAACGTAATTTTCTAGGACGATACTGTAAATCTTCATCGCCACCAGCGCTTACTTCTTCTACTAACAGACTTATGATAAAGTTCGAATCTGACAGCAGTATACGAGAGAGTGGTTTCTCACTATCTTACACATTTTTAGACGAAAAATCACATTGTGGTGGATTGTTCGTAAAGCCTCACGGCTACATCTATTCACCTGGATGGCCAAATACTTACGAGCCGTATCGAGATTGCATTTGGACAATCACTGTACTTTTCGGGCAACAAATTATGCTTAATATTTCTCAATTCGATCTCGAACGCCCGATACGTGATAAATGTGACCTAGGAGATTTTTTGGAGATAAAGAATGGGGCCTCGGAGAATAGCCCGTTGATTGGGAAGTATTGTGGTAGTTTTAAATCAAAACGTATTTTATCCACTGCCAATAGTTTATATTTGCATTTTCATTCCGATTATTATTTGTCAGGACGCGGTTTTATAATTGAATGGGATGGCAGTATCACTGGATGTGGAGGGACGCTGACCAGTATTAGTGGATCAATTTCATCACCTAACTATCCCGATAATTACAATGAAAACGCTGAATGCTTCTACAGATTAGTAACGAGCAGTGGTTCTAAAATTCGAATATCTTTCACGGAACTGGATTTGGAGAAAACACCAAACTGTAGAGATGATTATATAGAAATTTTTGATGGCAGAGACACAAACGCGGTAAGCCTCGGCAAACATTGTTCAATGTCGTCTATTTTAAGCAATATAGTGACAACCACTAATTATGCATATATCAAATTTCGGTCTGATATTCATTTAGGTGGTAAGGGTTTCTTGCTTAACTATGATACAATATGCCAGTGTAATATATCCGGTAGTTACGGTGTTATTGAAAGTCCAGGTTTCCCTAGTAACTATCCACTTTACTCAAATTGCCTTTGGAAAATTAATGTCCCTAGAGGAAATAAAATTAATATTACTTTTACACATTTTGACGTGTTGAAATCATTTCGAAGTTATCGCCCATGGTTAAGACTTAATAGTATTGTGTCTCCAATAACATGTGATTCGGATTATGTACAAATAATGGAAACTTCGGACACAACATTTACTAAAAAACTTTGTGGCACTTCATTACCAAAACCATTAACTGTCCAGAGCAATTCTGTTCAAATTCAATTTGTATCGGGCGGGTACTTTCCCAGACCTGGTTTTCGCTTAGAATGGGTACGAGATGGTTGTGGTGGTCGTATTCAAAAACGATTTGGTACTTTGTCATTGGATAAGAGTATGACTGTGGCAGAAAACGAGATTGTTTGTGAATGGATAATAGAAACTCCGTTAGGAACCAATGCTGCTATAACTTTCACGGATTTATATATGATGGACTCTAAAAACTGTACAGTAGATGCTATTGAGGTCTATAACGGTCAAACTGTAGATGCGCCGCTATTAACAAAAATTTGCCACCGTGACACATCGTCAGTTCAAGGAAGTTCTAACTTTATTGTTATTAAATTTGTGAAGCAGTCTTCACTTAGGAACGTATTTTTCCACTCACACTTTGATTCATTTAGAAATGGCTGCGGTGGCAAAATGCAATCTCGTACTGGAATGATTTATTCTAAAAATTATCCCAAAAATTACGATGATGACTTAGATTGTATTTGGTCTATCATTGTACCCAGAAACCACCGAATAAAATTAAATATTCTTGACTTCGATTTATATTCAGTAGATGACAGCGAAGATACATATATATATACATTCTGCGGGGACATGGTTAGAGTTTATGAAAGCGAGGATATTTTACTTTCTAATTACACCTATCGTCTATGTCCGAAATCAAATATTACACAAGTTATTTCAAAAGATAATCGATTAACATTGCAGTTCATTACAAACGATTTTGGGACTGCTAAAGGTTTTAAAGCTTCTTTTACTATGACTTGTGGTGCTTATATAACTGCACATCATGATGGAATAATAAGTAATGATCATTTTGTAAAAAATTCGAATGAAAGTTGCACATGGACTTTATTAGCACCAAAACCAAGTCAAAAAATAAAATTGACCATAACACATATGTCACTTTCGAAAGATACAACTGTCGTCACCAACAGAGCATGTCCATCAACATACCTTCGAGTTTTGGACGGCGATGACGATAATTCACCTCTGATTGATGAATTTTGTGGAAACAAAATTCCACCAATGATTGTGAGCCACGGTAGTGCGATGACGATGAAACTCGGTACTTATATTGGAAATATTACTGGTAAATTTTCGGCCCACTATTCAACATTAACATCAGCTTGTGGAGGCGTATTAACATCAGAAGAAGGCACTATCGCTTCTCCTAATTACCCTCAGTCGTATCCTATTGGATCGGATTGCGAATGGATTTTAAGCACATCGCCAGGTAATAGAGTATACATAACTTTTGAAAAGTTTGACATAGAATATTCTGAAGGTTGTAATGAGGACTATTTAGAAATACGTGAAAATAACGGTGGCGGACAACTTATCGGTGTATTTTGCGGTAGTCGAATTCCTACGAACACAACCGCTGCAAACAAGCTTTACATAAAATTCCACAGTGACGGAAAAGATTCTGGACAAGGATTTTTAATTCACTACGGATTTCTGCACGGTAATGAGATTTCTGGATTATCTTATGGTGAAGTTAGCTCACCCATGTACCCTTTCCTTTATGATGGTCAAGGTGAATATACTTGGCGCATATCTACAATTGATTCAGAATCTATTTCTCTACGCATAAACCAGTTGGAAATACCTAACCAAGGCACAACGTGCCAAAATCACTTAGCCATTTATGATGGTTATAATGACGAAGCTCCACTTTTACAAAAGATGTGCGGAATACTCGCAAGTCAAATAATCTCATTAAAAACTTCTTCGAGTGTTGTATATATTAAATTAAAACTTGAAGAAACAAATAGTGGATCGCTTTTCCATTTAAGTTGGGCACAAGCTGATAACGACGTAGAAATCAAAGTAAGCGATAAAGTTAATTGTGGGTCAAACCGTACTGAGTCTATAGCGGCTGGTCGTAGTGTTATTTTTAACTCCCCTAATTATCCAGGACCTTATGAAAACAATTTGAACTGTGAATGGGTTTTCAAATCAACACCTGGACGTCATTTAGTCTTGACTTTTCAAGATTTTTCGTTAGAAGAAACCCAAAACTGTTTTGCTGATCATGTATCTATATTTTCTTCAAACACTCTAGACGAATGGGTACCTCTAAAAGAAAATATATGTGAAAATGCAGCTGTAAGTGGTGCAATTAATGCGTCAACGTACTTAAAAATTCAATTAAAAACTGATTCGTCGATATCACAAAAAGGATTTTCAGCTAAAGTAGCATCAATGTGTGGAGGCTTCCTTTTTTCATCATCTGGTGTAATAGAACCAACATGGACTGATAGCCAAAATATATATTCAATTAAACTGCGATGTGAATGGATGTTACAAGTTCGCCCTGGCAGAAATATGCGAATTACATTTGAAAATTTTAATATAACAAATCCAGACAGCAGTTGCTCCACGTATGTTATTATACGTAACGGCGAATCAAGAGAATCGCCCCTATTAGCCGATGGAAAATATTGTGGATATTCACATGAAAATCGAAATGAAATTCTTTCTTCTAGCAATGCTGTATTTGTTAGTTACGTTGCTAATAATATGAGAATTGGTAATTCTTTTCGAAACTTTAAACTGCGTTTTGAAGAAAGAAATATTGAATGTGGCGGTTCATCTACATTAGATTTCGATCATAAGTGGGAAGTTATTACATCACCTGCATATCCATCACTACCTTCGCCTTATACGGAATGTATTTGGGTATTTATGGGACCTCCAGGAGAAGTTTTACGAATTGATTTTATAGACAGATTTGACTTGGAACGTAAAGATTCTTGTTCTACGGAATTCGTAGAAATCCGAGATGGTTCATCGAATATTTCACCTCTTAAAGGACGATATTGTGGTGAAAGACCTGGTACAATAAAAAGTAGTAACAATTTATTATACATTAAATATTCAACACAAATATTAGAACCAAGAAATGGGTTTAAAGCTAATATATCAATTGGTGTTTGCGGTGGTACAATTATAGCCAGCAATGGTGAATTAACATCACCAGGATACCCCCATATGCAAGTGTTACCATACGGCTCAGCTTGTTCATGGCACATTATTGGACCGCCAGTATTTACTTGGAAACTCCAAGTGAAAGATCTTAATCTACCAGAATCCGAAGTACCCTGTGCGACAAAACTTACTATCTTCGAAAAATCTGTACCTGTAAATAACACCATTACAGTACTAAAAGAATTTTGTAATGATCATATAGACGGTTACACGACACCGATCGAATCGTTCACTAATGAAGTTATTGTTTCACTTTTTATTGGAAAATCAAATGACTGGGATCAAATTTCTGAAAACAGAGGCTTCCGTATGACGTTCAGCACCTCAAGACCTACTTGCGGTGGTACTGTTATAACACCTGAAGGATATTTGACTACACCGGGTTATCCAAGACTAACGACATTACGATTTTGTCAATGGAAAATTAAATTACCCGATACAACAAGACGTGTACACCTAGAACTCTTAGATTTCGATACGGACAATCATCGAATAGGAATATACAATGACCTAAATTTCCAAACACTTATACAATCCATACCTGATGATAATTACTCACCTACAGTAAAAGTTTTTGAATCATCAGGAAGTAAATTGGGAATGTACTTATGGTTAAATCCATTGGGATCAAAAACTCACCGCTTCAAGGCTCAGTTTACGTCAAATTATGAAGCACTATGCGGTGGTACTTTAAATGGCAAAACTGGAGAATTAGCCAGTCCAGAAATCGAGAGATCTTACAACTGTGAATGGCACTATAGCTACCAAGAAAATGAAGGAGAAACTAAACCAAATACTATTCTAATTCATGCAAGAGTAAATTCTTCTTCATTGAGTACAATTTGCCGATACACCGATTCTCGTTTAAATTTAAAGTCTACTGTTGGTAATGAAGATTTTACTATTGTTCGAACTATTTGCGGGAAAAATACGGATGTAACCTATAGATTACCATCGTCAGTGGTGGATTTTAAAGTAATTAAAAACAAAGACACTACTTTGAGCTTTTTAGTGAAATGGAGTATGCAACCATGTGGAGGGGTAGTGTATGTAAACGAAGAACCGATAAATGTTTTGAACTTACCTGATAATTATAATGGATCATTAGATTGTGCGTGGATTATCATTGCCCCTACAAATAATAAAATTGAAATCAAATTGGAAGGAGAATTCCAATTTGATTGTTCTGATGAATACATAGAGATTGGTCAAAGCTTGGCGCAACTATCAACGGTTATAGGTGAATATTGTAAGGATAAAATTCCTCAATATCCATTAATTACCACATTTAAATATACATTTGTACAATATCACACTAAACTGAGAAACAATACAAAAGTAAAACTTATGGTGAAAACGGCTACTAGTAAATGCGGTGGGTTACTCACAAAATTCGAACGTCAATTTTCGTCACCTAACTTTCCCAAAAATTACTTTAGCAATGAAGAGTGCGTATGGGAAATTAAAGCAGAACTAGGTTACAGAATTTCTCTAAAGTTTATTGAACGTTTCGTTATTGAAGACAGACCAAATTGCACAAAGGATGTTCTTATTGTCTATGATTGGAAAGATAATGAATATATTGAAATAGCCAAGTTATGTGGCCGGCGACTACCACCGGCATACAATTCGACATTCAACCAAATGAAAGTTATCTTCCGCACGGACGCGGAAATCAACTTAGATGGATTTAGAGCACAATGGACTGATATTTGTGGTGGTAACTATATAGCAACTGAAAATGAACAAATAATATACAGCCCAGGATATAATAACGAATACGTGCCATCACAGAATTGTGAATATCGAATACAGGCTGTTGACAATAACATAAAAGTTAAATTTCTAAGTTTTGATATTGAAGGCACGTATCCATTATGCGAATATGATAATGTAACTATAACTGCTCATAGTCCAAGTGAATATATATATCAAGTATATTGTGGGAAAGAACTCCCTCCACTTATAGAAAATGTCGCTGATGTTCAAGTGCTTTTCAGCACCGACAGATATAGCAATAAAAAAGGATTTAAATTAGCATATTCTATTTATTTCTGTGGGGGTAAAATCAACAACAATACTGTTATTACTTTTGACAAGTACGAACATAATTTAAATTGTACATGGATAATAGAAGCCCCTGTTAACAAAATAGTTGTATTAAGATTTGTTTACATTGACCTGGAAAGTAATTCAGAGTGCTATAACGATTATATAGCAGCTTATAACGGATTGATTATAGATCCAAATAAACGTCTTGCACTTATGTGTGGTCGTGTAAATTCTAGTACAGTTATTAAAAGCGCGAGTAACGAAATGCTCCTGCAATTCGTTACTGACAGCAGCGTTTCATATAAAGGATTTCAAGTTGAAGTTATATTTACATTCTCGGAATCAGCTGGATGTGGAGGACAAATCAATTTAGCTCCAACATCAAGTCAAACTTTAAAATCGCCACTTATCGGAAACAGTGTTGTATATGAAAGTTACTTGGACTGCAGCTGGTATATCAAAGCCCCAGAAGGATATGTGGTTTCTATTGAATTCATATCTTTCCACATATCGTCTTGTCACAACGTCAATCAAACTGCTCTAGGCATTAGTAAATGTGATTGTGACTTAGTGGAAATAAGAGACGGCATAAATCCGGACAGTTTAGTAATAGACACTTTTTGTGGTCACACTTTGCCTCCACAAATACATTCCTCGCTTAATCATATGTTAATACGCCTAAAAACAGACGGTGAAATTGCTAGCTCCGGCTTCGAAATCACTTTAACTGCAAAAGAATCGATATGTGGTCGATCCCTGTATCCTGTTAGCCATAATGTGCAAATTTTAAAATCTCCCCGTTACGATACGGGCTATATTCCACGCGGCTTACATTGTTCTTACCGTTTAGACTCTCACGCTGAAATATACAGTACAGTGCGTCTTACTGTAAAAAACCTAGACTTGCGACCGGGTTCTGTAAATATCAACAAATGTAATTATGATCGTCTATTAATAACGAGTAGTCCTTACTCTCAGAACATTTCGATCGGCAAAGAATTTATTTTAAACCCACAAACTAATAGCTTTTACGATGTTTCCAATTTTTATGAGCAAACGTTCCCCAGCAGTTTAGAGCTTTGCGGAAATAAAAAATCGGTCGACTTATACATTACTGGAGACGTACTAATTAATTTACAAACAACGTCAGAAGCAGATCTGCGGAGTTACAAAGGATTTGAAATTGAATTTGTTTTCACTGGATTCTGTGGCAGAAACTATACAGATCCCCAAGGTAGGTTAAAAGCACTAAACCCAACAGACGGAGAAGAAGACAAAGATTGTTACACTCTTATTACTGCTCCTGAAAATAACACAATAGCCCTCTACTTTTTCTTTATTTCACCTGATTATTACAGCAATGACGTCTATCTAGAAATATTCGATGGAGATAAGCGTAGTGCTCCAAGGTTGGTTAAGATTGTTAAAGAATTCTCTGAATATACAGCAGTGTTTTCTACTGGCAGAAATTTGCTTTTATATAATCATCCCGTTAACAAAAATCAAGTGACTTTCGACTCTAACTACGTGGTTACCAACAAGGGCCGCGGGTGTGGCGGTAAACTGCACAATGTAGTGGGGCGAGTTGCAAGTCCGATGTACCCAGCGATATACCGCCATAAGAACATTTGTGAATGGGAGCTTGAAACTCCTCATGGGTCGCGATTAATGCTCCATTTCGCAGTATTTGACCTTGGCGTTGTGTGTGATCAAAATTACGTGCAATTAGTCGATAGAAATGGCAATACAATATCTACATATTGTTCTGAAATACCAGCAGATTACACGAGCTTAGACAATTATGTTAAAATTGTATTCATTACAAACATGAACAACGGCGGGACAGGTTGGGTTGCAGATTTTGTAGCAGTTTTATAGTAGATAGATAGTAGATGTTTACATTTTGTTGCCATAATTAACAAAGTTTATCTTAATCAGGGTTTCAAATTGAAATTGAAAGTGATTCTGAGTTATTTCAGAAAAATAGATTCTGTCCAAAATACATAGTTTCATAATGAAAGTAATGTTCTATCATAGATGATGGTCAGTAAATAGTCAAATTAAATATTAAATATAATAATAATACGTCGTATAAAATATTAAAATGTGTTTTTAGTTTGGATTTATCTACGTTTGATGTAACATGACTGGATTTACCAGTTATTGAACTAAAAAGGTATGGATTTACTTATATATGATAAAATTTAACTGGACTTACCAAGATTTGATAAAAACTACTCCTCGATACTTACATACAAGGGTTGTCACCAAAGCAATTAATGATTTTATAAATACTGGTCTGCTGAAATAAATTAAACAAACAGTACAAATCAAACAGTTTATTTAACATTCTCTAACAAATTTAATTAATAAAATTTAATTTTTCTAGTTCCTGTAATAGCGGCCATTTTTCCCCAAAATGTGTTTCCAGTAATTTACAGACATCAACCAACTTGACCTCTTGAACTGAAGCACCAATTGGGACTGTATCTGGGTTGAATGTTACAAAGCTTTGACCACGTTTCATAATTGACTTGTTCACTCCCTCATCACAGTAATAAGAGATTTCACCCCTGATTTTTACTTGGTTTCCTCCAGTTGTGATAATAAACCTTTTGCATTTGGTAATCTGAAAATGCAAACTTTGAGCCAACTTCAATATATTTCTACACTGAGTTTTATAAACGAGAATGGGGAACTTCTGTCCCTAGACGATAGACAGTTGCATGTTCTTCTACGATATCAATGTACTCTTGAGGCTTAAGAATTGTTTCCTTCTTAACCAAATAACCTGTCTGATGGAAGAAATGTTATAAAGTAGAAAAATATTTCATCCACATCTCTGTAACAATTTTTATATAAATATTAATAATCACAGTGAATTTTACGTACAACCCTAGGGTCGTGGCAGTCTTGTCATAACCTGTGAAAGAAAATAAAATTACTTACAGTTTTCTTACTTTGTCCTGTTGCTTGTTAGATTTTTATTTTTAATCGTTTTCGCGCTTTACTTGGGGATAAAATTTTCACCGAATTATCCATTGCTATTAACTTTTACCCAGTTAAATGAATAAAATATCGGAGAACCGACGACCAACTTTTGATCGACCACTTTCAGCCATATTGAATGAATACACAGCGCTGATTGGTTAAGAAGGATTTGCCTTCACTAGATAAAAACGGCTAGTCGGATTTGTCTTTGTTTGTTAAAAATGCATGATTTGTTTATCATTTCTTTTCAAATATGATTGGATTTGTCATTGCTTGTTAAAATGAATGTAAAGTATTTTATTTGAGCTTTCATTTCATACCAAAATGTCAAATATTGCACAACTTCGCTTAACTTCAAATGAAGGTAACTCCATCAGGAGTTACCTTCATTTGAAGTTAAGCGACTTATATAGTAAAATATCATGTTACTGCGGACTTGTATGTACGTAGTATCAAATAACGCCTTAAGCATCAGTTTACCTGTATAATATTGGACTATATATTTCATGTTTCTAAATTGTACATGTACTTATTGCTTCATTAAAATAGTTATAGCCGAAGTTACAAAGTTAAAATTTAAAAAAGTTACAAATTTATAAAATGTTACCAATGATATTGTATTTTGTGGTGTTAATGAAATTTTACATTTTATCAGTCGCGTCGGTACCTATAATATGAAAAGGAAACAAGACGTAAAATTAATTAATTTTACGTCTTGTTTCTTTGCTTTTTTTTTGGGTATTTTACATTATAAATTTTTTATTAGCTTCTTAAACAAAGTAATATGTTGCACTACTCTTACTATATTAGTATTTATAGTAGTACCTTCCGACCTTTAAGCCTGTTTTTATTTTTGTAATTGGTTATATAAAACATTAATATGTATTATTAAAACGATGAAAAATAAACGTGTTTCAATTATATACTTTGTTTATTTATTTGTTATTAATTATATTTTATTGTACAATGCGATTCGAATAAGAATAGGAACGTCAATGATCTCGAATGACCGCGATCTGTCAACTTTCACTTGAAAAGTACGGCTTGCAGAGAAAATTAATATGCTTATTAATATCGTTTTTTTTTTCGTTTAACTGAGTCTAACTCATAATTATTTATATAAATTAATTTAAAATATTTAAACTAGTCTGTGGAATATTTTTAAATACCTGCATATATCCATGTTCAATTTTATAAGGGAAGGCAGCAGTGAGTAGCTAAATATATGTGTGGTCTGACGTTATCATGATGAAAGAGCACTCCTTTTCTGTTGATCAATTCCGGCCGTTTTTTCTGAATTTCTTGTTTGAATCTTATTAGTTGTTGGCAGTAGAGATCTAGATCGATGGTTTTCCTGGCGATAAAAGCTCATAATAAACGATGCCCTTCCAATCCCACCATACACACAGCATCACCTTATTGCATGTTAATGCGGGATTTTGCTACAGTCTGTCGACTTTCCCACGTTCTTGTCGTAGGTGATCCACTTTTTATCACCAGTGATCAATCTTTTCAAAAATGGTTCGGTTTCATTACGTCTCAATAGAGAATCGCAAATGAGTACATGTTTCATTAGGTTTCTTTCAGTGAGCTTGTGTGGTACCTAAATATCGAGGTTTTTTCTGTAGCCATACTTTTTCAAATAGGTCAAAAATATTTTGTGGTCAATCCTCAATTCTTCGGCTATGTTATAACTATTAATATGCCGATCATGCTCCACTTTTTCAAAAATGACATCGACTTTATTCCTATTTAGGCGACCAGAGCGAGCTACATCTTTGACATCAAAACTCCCGGACTAAAAACGCTTGAACCAACTTATGTGCTATTCTTACTGACACCAAATTAGGTCCATAAACGTCACAAATGTTTTTCGCGGCTTGAGTTCCATTTTTCCCTTTTTTCAGAATGTATCGAATTTCTTCGTTAGATTCACTCATTTTGGCGGATAGATAAACAATTGAAAAAATGGCGGGTGTCTTTTTAATTTTTATTTTTCTTCTTAATTTCCTGTAGGTATTGATCTTAAAACCAGCCAGATAAGAACAGATTTTTCTTCATTTTTTTTATTTTGAATGATTAAAAACAGTCATTTAAACTTCTTTTCTGAGTAAGGTTTTTTTTTTAAAAAACGTTACCTCCACACTAGGATTTTCTCCTGTATCGTGGGGTCAGTTAACATACATAAATTGGACAAGGACAAACATCCAGACCCGGTACATTCATTTCCATACAAATACTTGTTCCGTGCGGGATTCGAACCCGCGGCCCTTGGCGCTGCAACTTATTCCTAAGTCACTGCGCCACGGAGCCGTCGTCGAAGTACACATTTTATGCATGCTAAAAAGATATGATGACTGTAAGACTCACTGTATTTATTTATTTTTCTATCTCCACACTAATTTTCAGATCACTTACTGTTTCGTTTCTTTTCGTTGATGGTGTGGTTAAATCTTCTTGGTCTTCAATTAAAATGTTTAGTTTATTTTAATAAGATTAGAGGATATACTTCATGTTGTTGAGCAGTTGAGCACTTTATCATGTATGTGTATATTTAAGTGTGTATGGATGTATAGATATATGTATATGGGTACATATGTAAGTGTATGTTTATGATTGCTTAAACAATGTATTATTATTTCCAAATAATAACTCTTATTATGCTGATTCTGTCCCCACACTGAATATTTTTCTTTAAGTTTTAGCTTTAGGTAATGTATGACCGTCCGTGAAGCCAATATTAGGCTCTATTTGAAAATCAGCGCTGCTGTCATTTAGTTCAGCAGCTGTTAGCTGAAATAGGGACCTAATTTGACTTTACACAAATCCTGTTTTTTATATCTCGTGTTATTTTATTTATTTTTTCTTTGTGATGTCAAATAAAGTTTTCTTTCTTTCAAAAAAAATTATCTACATATTTATTTTACATTTATTTCTACTTTATATTATAAAATGAAAACATTGTGTACCGTACGTACGTAACGTACCACGTTAGCAAATGTTGGGAACCATATTTTCTTGGTGGGGTATATTCCAAGGTATTATAACATAAAAATATGAATACTTGTCTAACCAATATTTTAAAATAAATTGGGAAAACCAAATATAAGCCTTAGGCCTTTAAGCCTAAGGCTTACATTTGTTTAATTTCGTAAAACAAACACTTTAATGCAATCGAAATTACGCCCCAGGATATTCCGCAATATCTCCAAAAATCTATAAGTAATTTAAAAAAACTGAGCATGTTACCCGTGACATTTTTACATAAACAACTATCCTATTTACTCAAATAAACACAGTTAAAATGCTTTAACTGCAACTTTTTTTGCACGTGGTAGAGCCATGCTGCCGCTATATTAGTAGTATTGTAGCACGAATGGGTCGGCTCGACCGGGGAAGGACCACACACTCACAGAATACCACCGTAAAATGGCAGCTTGACACTGCTGTGTTGCGTGAGTATAGAGAACCGCAGACCCATTTTACTGGAAAAGAGGCATTCCATCTTAGTCCTCACGGGTGACGACGCATCTGCATTTTGGTTCTTTATTGAGGATAAATGTAGATGTCTATGGGTCACAGCAACCACTTACCATCAGGTGGGCTGTGTGCTCGTTTGTCACCCTATCCTATAAAAAAAAAACTTTAAAACTTTAAAAATATACTCTAATGGTGGCCACTCACGGTCAGTTAAACTGAACAGTTTAACTGATGTACATCCAAAAACTGACCGTGAATGCGAAATCTTAAGTTGAAATTTTTAACTGAAGACAACACACGGATTTTTTCGGGCTTGCTGTCAGTTAAACCGCTCAGTAGAACTGACGTACATCCAAAAACTGATCGTGAATGTGAAATCTTAAGTTAAAATTTTTAACTGACGGCAG